AGCTGCAACACTCTCTGCGGAAGCATCATCACCAACATGAGCCAAATGAGCATTTTCAGGTCTTGATATGTTCAAGGCCTGCATCTGATCCTCCCAATCAAATGATTGCACAACATTAGCCTTCTCACTGTTGACTTGAGCATCGCTCCGATTTTTTTCCAACTGCAACCATTGTTCAGTTATTGTTTAATCTTCTGTCCGGCTTCGGGCACTCACGAGAAAAAATGACCTGGCTTGTGGCAGTTGAAACAACACAACTTTCCCTTGCTGAACCCTACCTTTTTATCAGCACTCATCCCCTAGTTGTTCTTCCCTGTCTTCTTTGCAAACTGCTTTGTCCTGAAAACTGCCATGGCAATTTGCCATGTGATATCCATTTCTTCTATGTCTTCAGGATGAATCTAATCGAGATCAGCAAATGACAATTGGGGCGGAAGATCTCCAGCTACAAGAGCATTGTAGCAGTTGAAGAGTCCTGTAACAAAAGCAAGATTTTCATCACACTCCTTGTCGTTTGAGGAAGAAGCCACATTAGAAGGAGAAGTAGCTTGAGTAGCAACGAATGATTGGTTCTGAGAGAATGGCATGGCTGATGCAACAGGAAGTGATGTAGCTGATGGAGTGGAAAAGGACTGAATCTGAGCTTGCTGAGCAGCAAAGGGTTGACCTGCAGAGGAAAAGGTGAGATATGAAAGAACATTGTTAGATGAGATGCCAAGGTTTGCATCTGAGTATGAATTCACATGATTAATCTCTCGCTGTTTGTCATCAATATCACAGGCCTTGATGACCGCCATCATTTCAGCAAGAGTGAGCCAACTTAAATTCTTGGCTTTCTTAATAACAGCCACATTCATGTCCCATGACTTTGGGAGAGTATTTAGTAGCTTTTTATTTATTTCAGACTTTGTGAAAAAGATCCCGACAACAGTCATCTCAGTGGTGAGAGTTGTGAATCGTTGCAGCTATGCCTCCAGGGTTTCTACAGGAATGTAGTTGAACATGTTAAACCTTTGTCGCAGCATATCCTGGCGACTCTCCTTCATGTCTTTGTTCCCTTCATATACCTCGATTAGGGTTTCCCACAAAGCCTTTGTAGAAGTATACTCCATAAAACCTTGAGCTATATCCGGAGACAGGGCCATGGTCAAAGTGGGCAAAGCCCGTTCCTACTCCTCAACCTATCAAAATCTTCATCAGTGTAATTTTCAACCGCTTTGTCAACTATTTTCCCTGCAACAGTGGTAGTTATTATGACAGGATTTTTGATGATGCTTCTCCAAATCTTGAAGTCCTTCATTTTGATATACTTCTCAATCCTGTACTTCTATTCAGGAAAACCTTCAGCAGACAGCAGTCTTGGAATTCGAGTGGTTGTGCCTATTACAGAGTCCAACTCATGGTGATGTGTTTGACTTTCTGAGTCCATTTAAATTTAAATAAAAGTTAAGTTATTAAGTTAAATAAAAAATGTAAGTTATTTTCTTTAAAAATATGAGTTTCCGGTCAAAAAAAATGTTCACGGTCAAAGGAGTGTTTACGGTCGAGAGTTTACGGTCGTAAAGAGTTTGCGGTTTTTGTATATGGTCTATGAGTCTAAGCTTGCGGTTGATGAAGATGCCTTATTCACGGTCTAAGAACGAAGTTTACGGTTCAAGAAATAATCTTGATTTTGCGGCCGTAAGCTGTGTTTACGCGCGTAAGCTCTGTTCGTAATCTCCCATAAATTCAAGGAATCACAATTTTTTGGATTAAACTTGAAACCCTTTCGCAGTAGACACCAACTTCAGTCGTAAACAATGAAGAATACGGTCAAAAATTCTATTGTAGGATGATTTGACACTGATTTTGCTCTGATACCAATTGTAAGTCCCCAATCTGCTTGTATATCAATCATATCCGTTTGATGGTGCGGAATCCCAATCAAATGGATGATGTCAGATCAAATAGAAGAGAAGGAGAAGAAGAAGATGATGAATCTTGTATGTATTGATATGAATCAAGATCCGGATACAAGATTGACACACACTAACATAGACTCTCTGTTCTCTCTCTCTAGAACACCTTCAAATGTCACACACATAAGCTCCTCTATTCTCTTCTGTTCATCAATCTACTCCTCACCCCTTACACCTATATTTAAACATGAGAAACATGGGCTTGGTGAACATGGGTCGTAAATGGGTTTACGGCCGTAAACACAACCGTAAACACTTATACGGCCGTAAACACCAAGCTGTTTACGATCCAAGACACAAAAATACATTTTCTTAGAAAAGTAAAGTATAAACCATATTTTTGACCCAACAATGAAGATCAATGAACAAAAAGAATCACCAAATCAAGATAGCCATCAAGGATCAATTCTTGATCCAATCTAGAACACCCGCTCTGATACAAAATGATGTGGTGTAGATTAAGATGGCATGTGCGGAATATGAAAGATCAAGTGAATCAACATGTAAAATCAAGAACACAAGGAGTAAATAAATCTGTGTAAGCTCATATTAGATCTAGAAAGATTATACAAATAGGTTTGTACACAATTTCTCTCTCTAGTCTAACACTCTAAATGGTTCCTTACATAAAATGAGTGCCACTCACTTCCTTATAAAGGAAATGCAACTCATTACACACACAAGTGGGTAAAGCCTCATCCAAGCATGACTTTGCACCCTAACAAGGTTATTTAGAAGGAAATACGGAAACAAAAAAAATGTTTTACTGGTGTTCAAGGTGATAAGACTTTGAAGAGAAATGTGTTATGCTGGAGTGTAACGCCCCATATTTGGTATGTAATTTAAATAAAGTATTTTTCATTTCTTAAGGGGTACTCGACGAGTCTGTAGCCCGATTCATCGAGTTGAGACGAGATAATTGCGCAAATTGAGTTGACTACTCGACGAGTCCATACGCTGGGACTCGGCGAGTCCGCCTATTTGAATGAAGCCCTGATTTCAAGGTTTTGTACCCTATTTAAATGTCATTATAGCCTCCCACCCCAGCCTTTAGCACCTTTAGAGCATTTTCCCTTGTAAACCCTAACCCCCATTGTTGAGTTTGAGTGTGATTATGTTAGCTTGGAAGCTTTGGAAGAGAAGGAAGGAGAGAAGGTCCATAGAAGATAGAGGAGATCCAGGAGTAAGCTTCCATCTGTTTCTCATTCAGGTAATGAAGTTATGACCTTGTGTATTCCTCCATTAAAACCCCTTGTATGCTTGTTATGTCTTCTTTGGAACCTTTTATGATTCAAAACTTGAGATATGGACTCTCCTTTGGATGGAAACCTTAGATCTGGACGTTATTGAACCCCAGGAACTCTTTATAGCCACCTTTATGCGATCTTGGCCTTGTTCCAAACCCTAAGTGCTTAGTATTTGTTGATTTTGGGTATTTTAGCTTCATACTCTTGTGTATGAAACTTTACGTGTAAAACCAATTCTAGAAGCTCAGATCTATGTTTTGGAAGCACTGGAACTGATTTGAATCGACTGTGTAATAATAGCATGCTTGGGACTCGACGAGTTGTTCTTCAAACTCGACGAGTTGTTCATCTGACTCGGCGACTCGCAGTCTGGACGTGTTCATATGTTGAAGGAGGACTCGACGAGTTGTTCATGCAACTCGGCGAGTCGGATGAAGTTAGACTCGATGTTAGCATCGAAGAAGAACTCGTCGAGTCTTTGCCAAACTCGACGAGTAGAAGCGGGTAGAGGACTAGAATGGATGATAGGGACTCGGCGAGTTGACGGCTCAACTCGGCGAGTCCGGTCAACTGAAAGTTAACTTTGACTAGGGAGCTGACTTTGACCAGGGGTAAAATAGTCATTTTACCCTGAGGGCGTTTATCAGTACCTAACCTAGTGTTTTGTGGGAATTGTAGCCGGACAGTTCCGGAGCAGCAGCCAGCCAATGTTAGAGTTGGCATCTTAGCAGCCAGCATTACGATGTGAGTTTTCCTTCCAGTAGGAATGGGTCTACGGCCACAATGCCGACCCATTTAGTTAGCAGTAGTTCCGGACTTCGGTCCGATGCTGTAGTTCGGTGTGCTTGTTGTCTTTATGATTCAAGCATATCCTTGTGTTATGTGTTCCGGACTTCGGTCCGATGAAGTCTGCATTATATGTGCTTATTCCAGTTAATATGTCTATGCTATGCTATGTTATGCTCAGTTAGTTCCGAACTTCGGTCCGATGCAGGGGACAAGGTCCCAGTTAGTTCCGGACTTCGGTCCGATGCGGTTTCCGGACTTCGGTCCGATGCAGAGGGCAAGGCCCTGGTTACTTTCGGACTTCGATCCGATGCAGTTTTCGGACTCCAGTCTGATGCAGTGGGCTAGGCCCAATAGTTGTTTATGTGTTATTGTATGATATGTGGTAGTTTGGGGGAGCTCACTAAGCTTCGTGCTTACAGTTTCAGTTTTGGTTTCAGGTACTTCCACAAGCAAATGGAAGAGCTCGGGATGATGGCATCACACACACCACAACTTCAGTTTATCCTGAGAGTTTATTTTGGATGTTACTATGATTGATACAGATTTGTTTGACACAGTACTATGATATTTGAGTTGGTCATTACGTGGTTTTATTATATATGATGTGGTTTTTAGTATTATTAAAACAAAAATTTTTGGGTCGTATTTTGGGTCGTTTCATGGAGCAGTTCATAGGTTTCACATACTCCATCGAGAGGGTTATCATACAAGTTTACCTCTTTGGATCTCAAGTTAAAGATGTGGTGCTCCTTTTGGCCGTCAACAATCTATCAGAGGTCATTCAAGAATGATTGAATGATCATATGGCACTGCTTGAGAAGGATCAACAGGAGGATTGAAGCCTTAAGATTGAAACTTTTGGTGTTCTTGTTAGGTTTAAGCTTGCAAGTTTTTTTTTTTTGAAAATGTTTAACTTTGTTAGTTTTTGGTGTGAAATTGTTGTTTATTGTCTTTATTTTGTGAAAAATTGCAAAACTAACAGAAAAAATGTAATACCTTATGTTAGATGAGGATGTCATCTCAATCAGTTCTTAAAGCTTCTTATGCAAGTGTCGAAGATGAGAGACAAAGTGATCGTATAGAGGTAGAGTGATTGGGAGACAGTGAAAATGAAAGGTAGATGATCCGGCTAATAAATAGAGGAGATGGGCAAGTTAAAAAACAAATATACCCATCATGTGAGACCTAGGATGGTCTAACAGCCAAAGCTAATTATTGTTAAATCCAACGATCAAATCCAAAATAAAACTTATTTATAAATTATAAGGATGTCCTATGCAATTTTTAAAGTTTTGAGACTCAATCCTACAATCCACATAAAATCGTTGGGAACAAATTTATAGTTTACTCTACCATAACAACATCAAACCCGTGGGACCATTTTTATAATTTTACCTTTTAAAAATAAAAAAGAAAGCATGATAAGCATGTATTTCAATTTTGTTGTCCTTCACGATAACAAAAGGAGGGGAATGCCACTTTTTTATCTTCAATTTCTGATTGGTTTCGATAAAGTTGTTTGTCTATCTCTTTTCTCTTCCCAGCATTCTGCATGCTCTATATCTTTCAGTCTCGATCGGTCTCTTCTTTTTAACTGTGTGCCCCTGAGCCCCACCTTTTCCCGCGGTGGCGTTTCAACATTGGGGTTTTTTCAATCTCTCTCCCTATCTTTTGCGCTTTTCTCTCTCACACACAGTGAACGCGTCACCTACTTTCAGAGACTTGTTAGAGACGCTCCTCCCTCATTCCTCAAGTTATTTCAGGTATCGATGTTGCGAGAATCTCTACAACTATTCTTATTCTTTATCACGGTTACAGTTCTCTAAGATTTTGAAGTTATGTACTGATTCTTCTCTAGAAATGGACATTTGTATTGATTTTACATAATTCTCGAACCACAGTTTATGCTATTATAGGTAGCAATTGTTAGGTTTTCACCTAATTCAGTCGTGAGGAACTAATTCGTACCTAATGTCCTTGATTGTAAGTTTGTAACTGATTTGAGTTCACCATCTACTCTGGAGAATTCGCAATTGCATTTTTTATATTCTGGCGATTGCTGTCGTTTGATTTTTGTTTTTTTGTTCCGGCATTTCGCGCACCAATTCATGTCACAAAATTAACTACTGAAAATTAAAAACAGACGAATGTTTCATGTTTGTGTTTGCTTCTTCATCAACGGCTTCATGTTGACAACTAATTTTCATACATTTTCCTCTGTTCATGCTCAATTGCTCATCCTCATTCATACCATGGATAAACTTTAGGGGAAATGCCAGAAATCCAATTAGGTGCGCATACTATAAGGAGCCATGGAACTAAAGTGGCAAGGGCTCACATGCATGATTGGTTTGTCTTCATATTTCTTGTGATCATGGAGATCATTCTGAATGTGATAGAACCATTCCACCGGTTTGTTGGAGCAGAAATGATGGATGACCTAAAATACCCTTTACAAGACAACACTGTTCCCATTTGGGCTGTTCCAGTAAGCAGTCTTTGATGAATGTTATACAACTCTAAAATCTTTACATACTAATTTGTTTTTGGTTTTTCATTTCACAGATTATTGCAATATTATTGCCACTTGTGGTCATACTCATATATTACTTTATCAGAAAGGATGTTTATGATCTTCATCAAGCAGTGCTAGGGCTTCTGTTTTCAGTACTTGTTACAGGAGTTTTGACTGACGCAATCAAGGATGCAGTTGGGAGACCTCGTCCTGACTTTTTCTGGCGTTGCTTTCCTGATGGCAAAGGGGTGAGTGAGTTCTCTCTCTGAATTCTTATGATGGAATGAAGGGAATGGAATTGTCAATTCCATTCCTTCTCTGATTCCATCATGCTAAACACTACCTAGAAATCTCTCACGGATCTGAATTATGTTAGGTTTTTGATCCCGTTACAAGTAATGTGATGTGTACTGGATTAAAATCCGTTATCAAAGAAGGACACAAAAGCTTCCCAAGTGGACACACATCTTGTAAGTTCATTATTATTATTTAAAAATAAAAAAAAAAAACATCATAAACCATATATTACATTATTGTTTATTTATAATAATAAGTTTTTCTCCAAACAGGGTGCTTTGCTGGACTTGGTTTTCTGTCATGGTACACAGCTGGAAAAATCAGGGCATTTGACCAAAGAGGCCACGTGGCAAAGCTTTGCATCATTGTCTTCCCTTTACTCATTGCAGCTTTAGTAGGCGTCTCACGTGTTGATGACTATTGGCATCATTGGCAAGATGTATTTGCAGGAGGCCTTTTAGGTTTAACAGTTGCTTCTTTTTGCTACTTACAATTCTTTCCACCACCTTATGACATTGATGGTAAATTAAACCTAAACCCTCCAATTTTATTAAATTATGAAACTGTGTGTCGGTTGATGTTATTTTATTTAATTTTTAGTTGGTTTGATGTGTGTACAGGTTGGGGGCCCCACATTTATTTTCAGATGTTAGCAGAGTCTAGTAATGAGACGCAAACGGGGAGTGTGAATGGTTTAAATGTGGCTCCATTGGAAATTGAGAATGTGCGTATGCATTCTCGTGGTGGGATGGGGATGGGGGTTTCGGATGATAATTCTTTGAATGAAATGGAGAGAGGGAGAAGGCGTTGACCGAGGTTTGACTTTCTACTTACATATGGTGTAACTTATGTAGATCAGTTAGCTTAATTTATTAATATAGTTTAGGGTTTTTGGCATCTTTTTCCGGATGTTTTTGTGGGATCTTGTTTTTGATTTTCGAGATTGAATGTGTCTCTTTATGATGATTTATATTGGGAATGACTAATGAATTTAGTTGGTGGCTCACATTTTGGTGTTTTTTTTTTTTTTGTCAATTTGATATTTGCAAGGTGATATTTCCACTTGTGTTTTTTTGTCCATCTATTTTAAAAAAAGGTTTCGACTTTTTTACCCTCATCGTGATTCTCTCTCTTCAATCAAAACAATAAATGGAGATATAATTTGTCTCGAAAGTTTTTAAAGATATTGGTATTATTGAAGATTATATAAATAGGGTTCATTTGTAATCATAATGTATCAACTAATATGAAAGAATCATCTCTTGGCAAAAACCTCCTAGAGCAAAAATAACTTAGTAAAAACCATCATGCTTTTAAAAAATATTTCATATCAATTTTATTCTTCGTTTCTTGTGGTTTGTTGGATATGATGGATGGATGTCGTTCTTGTAATATTTTTCAATCGGAACGTTGCTGTGATTTTTTCTTTATTGTTGTTTTCGACCCTTAGTAGTTAATGGAAATGGCTGCGAAGACAGCCCATATCTGGGAAAGCCAAACCCACCTAGAAGTAAAATTGACAACCCCACTTAAATAAAGGACGAGTATTTTTGTAAACAAAACGAGTCTCCATGAAACCACTACCAACATAATACACCGCATTTGCAGAGAAAAAATTGCAAGATTATGATTTTCGTGTAAAAGTTATCTTTCACATTATTTAGGTATAACCGAATAAATACATAATTGCAAGTAAGGTAATCGGCAATATAAAATGGGCCTAACATGGGTCTGACCATACATTGTCTATATCCACTATATTCACCTTCAATTTTATGAGAGGATAGGCTTGAGATGTTTAAATTGGATTAAGACTCATAAGTCCGTCGGTGAAAATACCAACATACTAAGAGCTACAGGTAACACATAGAACCCGATCTCGTCGAAAAACAACTTGATCACAACCAAAGTGAATGTTTATATCATCGTGATGGGTTTGCTTATGTTGTACTGAGTTGGAGGACATATAGATGACACTGACTTTATCACACACTTTCGTTTCTTTGGTGGTTGAGGCATGTAACCCATGTAGAAGGTTATAAAGCTAGCTGGTCTCCGCAACAATATGGGCGACACCGTTGTACTCAAGTACTCAACATTTATAAGACTAAGGTGTTGTTTGTTTTTTCGAAGCCAAAACTTCTGTAGTCTGCGGACCACATCTGCAACTCTCTACAACATAAGATGTAGACCAAATTTCTACAGTCTGCAATAAGAAATATGTTTGTTTTTTAACGTTTGCATAAATAAATTGAAATTTAAAACCGATTTTACAAACTTAAAATAGTTTTTCAACACCAAAATTTTAACAATTCCAATCTTACAACATTAAAATAAAATTCATACAATCAAATTAGTCTTACATTAACAAGTCTAGTTTTAGAATAACAATGTCTTTTAAAATAATTGATTTCATATTTTGCATCAACTACTCAACAATTTCATTATGTAACTGAGTCATATATTTACGGTCCGCTACAATATCATGTGTTGGAACATCGTCTTCATTATCATCAATGGGTACATTGTTATTTTGACACGACACAGTGGGTTCATCGTATTATGCAAAATATTAGTCACTCAGTGTTTCTTTTCTTATAAAATTATGAAGTGCGAACCATGTTAGAAAATTATAGGACCATTCTATAAATGACTATATATATATATATATATATATATATATATATATATATATATATATATATATATATATATATATATATATATATATCATTGACCATTTTATAAGATTGTTGATGGACTGATATTCACTTACCATTTTATGGCTTGAGTTCCCGGTTTCACTTAAAATCTTCAAGATATTTTCCATCTTTCACATTAGGGTTTATATTCATCTATAAATATATGTGATGAGGGGCAAATCAAGAGAATAAAATTACTTTATAAAATTCGTTTTTTTTAATTGCAAAGGGTTCCTAGAGTTATCTTGAGATTAACTGGAAAATCAAGCTTGTTCTTCAGATCCAAAAACTTCAATGAAAGCAGGTACACATTCTTCTTCTTCTCTTATTTTCTTTTATCTAGATTCGAGTTTGAAGGTCTGGCCTTTGAGTGCTTCCGCATATAAAGACTTAGTTATTAAAATAATCCAACAATTGTTATCAGAACCTTCTCGAATCTGATACTAGATTTTTTTTGGTTGATTTAAGATCTATAACACCATATTTAAAATACCTGTTTTCTCTTCGTTGCCTGGAAATTGTTTTATGTACGATGAGAAAAGATAACTTGTTTAATGTATGTTTCTTGTTCCTTGTTATATTTTAAGAACTTGTTTCCTTTATACTCTTAATGATTTATGACACTTTAAATCTTTGACTAGTACATACTTTTGACTTTTGTGTATGCATCTCTGACATAAGTTATCAATGCTTTTTTGTTTGGGTTTTCTATAAAACCATCTCCAATCCATCTCCATTCACCCCAAAAAATAAGTAAAAAATGGGATAAATAGTGTTTCATCTCCAACCCTACTTCACTTTTTATCTTATTTTTACCCCTCAAAAAGTATATTCCTAGTATATTCAATTATTACAACTTACATAGATTGTCAAATATATTCCTCTACTAATTTAGTTTTAATAAATATACAATCTATGTTTTTTTTTTCATTACATTAATATTAAATACAAAAGATTATATGTATAATAAACTTATAAATAAATATCATACATGTATTTATAAAATAATATTACACATACACACTTTTAAGTAAATATTATACATGCATTTATATAAATATCAAACATACACTTTTAATTATAATTTTTTTGTAAAATACGTTATCGTTTTTTAAAATTTCAATATATATTTAAATTTTTATACAAATTTGATGAACAAAAAACAAACTTTATATTTATAATTAATTAATATAATTTATTATATAACAAAATATTATATGTATTAAATATTATATTTAAATTATAATTACTTGGTAAAAATGAACTAGAAATGTATAAATATATAAACAGCGGGACTAAAACCGACAACGCAAAGTTCATCCTCATTTTGGGAGAAATAAATAGTATAACACCATATTTGATATAATACTATTCATATCCCCCAAAATGGGGAATAAATAGGGTAGGGTTGGAGATGCTCTAAGTACCCCCTCTTGATTTTCCAATTCCACCCTCCTGATTTGATTTTTTTTCCCTCGTATTTTGTTTTTTGTTGTTTTTAATTCTTTTTTTAATTTATTATTATTATTATTATTATTATTATTATTATAATTAATATTATATTTTAATATTATTATTATTGTTGTTATAAAATCCGCACAGAATTTTAACATTCGGACGACATTATAAATTCGAACGGTTATATAAAATCGGGTTTTAAATATTTTTTTATATGTTAATATTAATATTTTTATTTTTATTATTATTAAAAATCACGAACTACAATTTATAAATCGAACATTATAAATTTGAACGACTATATAAAATTTGAACAAAAGTTAAGTTTGTCCCTATTAATTATGAATATTAATTGGTACGGTATTACAATTGCGTGGTGCATTATGTGGATTGAAAACATTTAGTTGAGCCCTATACAATGCTTTCGATTTTATATAACTATTCAAATTTATAATGTCCGATTTATAAAATGTTGTTCGAAATTTATAACAATAGTAATATTAATATTAAAATATAAAAAATATTTAAAAACCGATTTTAAATAGACGTTCAAATTTATATTGTCGTCCGGATGTTAAAATTTTGTGTAAAATTTATAATAATAATAATAATAATAATAATAATAATAATAATAATAATAATAATAATAATAATAATAATAAATAACAAAAAAACAAAATTAAAAAACAAAAAAAAAAACAACAAAGAACAAAAAAAAATATCAAATCAAATGTCAAAATTTTGATTTGATTGATCTTAAGGGTAAAAATGGTTAATGAGAATACTTATAGCACAACCTTTAACTAAGTACTCACCATGTTTGTGAAAAAAGAACTTGTGAAACAAAAGATCTTTCTCAAAATTGTTAAGTTAATATTTATTTTAGGGTAAATTATATGAATTGTTTCTTGTCGGTGACAAAATACACGTTCAGTCCATATTTTAAAATTTTAATTCGGATCGTCTGCTCATTTGTTTAAACTTGCAAAGTTCACCATTTCGTACATAAAAAGAATATTTGACCCTTAATAATTTCTTTTTTAATTTTCTTTTACTTATTAAATATTTTTTAACTCAAAAAAAGAAAGAAACAAAGAAAAAAAACTCTCCAACCAACCTACCCCCCCCCCCCCTACTTTCTCTGTTCCATGTTTTCTTTCTTTCCCGATCCAATTCTATTGAAAGAAATATGGTGGATCATGAAACTCTCAACACTTTCTTTGGTCCAATGTGAAACCCCGTCGTACACCGCACTAGAAAGCATTCGTCAAAAAGGCTACGATGGATCGAAGGCGGATTCGGGGTTGCTCTGACGACTCTTCCTCACTCTCCTTTATTTATCTTTCAAGCATTTTCCGGAGACCCTGAACCTCTCACCACCACTACAAACCTTAGCGTCAGCATCGCTAAAACCACTTTGTCGCTGCATACCCCTACCCTGACATCACCTAGCTAGGGTTTTGAGTCTACTGGTCATTTGGGTGTGAGATCGAGGTTGTGTGCGCGGAGCTGCCGAGGCTACCATCACCCCATTCTTCCTCATTTGATGTGAAATACACCCAGAAAAAAGAAAACCTTTTAAGCTTCTTTCTCTGCAACTCGAAACCATCACCAACATACCTGCAAGCCTGGGAAGATCATGGTTCACGATAGGGTTCAGGATTTACAAAACCATGTTTTGATTTTGCTAAACTCTCAAACAGGAAAGCATTAAGGTTTCAAAATTTCCAATTTTGCATATGCGTATTTTTTGGTAGTAGCTTGAGTTTTGGATTTTGATTTCTGGTTCATTTTGTTTTTGGATGGTATCATTTGATTTAGACCATAAGGTGTGGGCAACTAAATGCAACACCA